AGCTCAATGATTGGTCGGAGAAGCCATTAGAGGATCCAGTGAGCTTGGGGAAAAAAGAAGATTCTGGTACGCTCTTTCAACCAGTTTGATTTCGCCACGTGTTCGGAATGAATTAATACATTTTACCAGCTACGTGCTTATCTGGCCAGTCAATGCTTCGACTAATTAATTTCGAGAATTTGGGGAAAATCATCGGATCCGACCCGGATTTGTATTCGGAACCCGACCCGAATATCCTAATCATGAATTCCCGCTCCGTTGCCATTTTCAATTTTCATTTTGAAATTGTGCATCTCGTCTCTTACTTTCTCTCTCTAGAAAATGGCTCCTCCTTTTGTTTTTCCCCAAATTCTTCGAGCCCTAGAAGAAGATCCGGAAGACAATCATCGATTGTTCGCTCAGAATATCGTCGATGTGTCCTCTCTTCGCTCTTCCGATCTCGAAGAGTTCGTCAAAGGTATAAATACTGTTTCTGGGTTTGTCTTTGTTTCTCGAGTGTATGAGCGAATCTGTAAATTTTCTGTCTGAGAAATTATAGAGAAACTGGATTTAGATTTGATTTGCTTTCCAATTTGAGAGGAAAATTGGACTGTGAATTCGTGTATACAAGTGAAGCTGAACGATTTGATATTTGATGAATTGAACTCGAGAGAAACAAGGAATTGAATGAGTGGTTTGATTCTTGTGATTGATATGTGAGGCATTTTGTTGATTGTCTTCTCATGGAACAGGTGTATCCTTTGACCTGTCTGATAGAGAACTCTTCTGTATCGAAGATCAAGATGTTTTTGATCGTGTCTACTCCTTGGTCAGGAGTTTCTCTAGTCTTCCTCCATATTGCAAATGTAATCTTGTAGAAAGCCTCCGGTCCAATCTAAGTGTTCTTCTTCCTAATGTCGATTCGATCTCTCGATCTGCACAAGATCAGGAGGATGAGGTTCCAATCATCGATAGGATCACATCACATCGCAATGCCTTGAAAATATACACTTTCTTTCTCCTCACTATTGTAATGGCTGAAGAATCATGCATCAGTGCAGTTGACAGCACAAAGGTGTTTTCTCTTTTTCCATCTCATTATGTACCATACAGAATATAATTCATCTCTTATCGTCTTCTTTACTATAGTGGTGTTGTGGATGAACAGGTTCCAGCACGAGGGAGGAAAAAGCAAACTGTCCAGTCATGGAACTGGGAACCTCAGAGGGGTAGGATGCTCAATTTGATCGCAAATTCTCTAGAGATCAACCTATCCTTGCTCTTTGGATCAACAGACCTAGACGAAAACTACCTGTCTTTCATTGTCAAGTAATTTCTGTGACCTGTTGAATCTTGTTTATCTTGCATACTTCATGTTAAAGGTCCATTCTCATAGCTTTTTTATATTATTACTTTGTAGAAACTCGTTCTCTCTTTTTGAGAATGCCGCGATTTTAAAAGATGCTGAGGCAAAAGATGCTCTGTGCCGCATCATAGGGGCATCTGCTACAAAGTACCATTACATCGTACAGTCATGTGCCTCAGTAATGCACTTGATACACAAATATGATTTTGCTGTTGTACATGTTGCCGATGCAGTTGCTAGAGCTGAAAGCAAGTATTCTGATGGTACCTTGGCCGTGACAATCATTAGAGATATTGGGAGGACTGACCCAAAAGCCTATGTTAAAGATACAGTTGGGGCTGATAATGTGGGACGTTTCTTGGTCGAGCTTGCTGATCGTTTGCCAAAAGTAATGTCTACAAATGTTGGAGTTTTGGTCCCTCATTTTGGTGGTGAATCATACAAGATAAGAAATGCACTAGTTGGTGTTCTTGGAAAATTAGTTGCAAAAGCATTTAATGATGCTGAGGGAGATGTGAGTTCCAAGTCCCTTCGTCTGCGGACCAAGCAAGCTATGTTGGAAATTTTGCTTGAACGGTGTAGAGATGTTTCAGCCTATACAAGGAGCCGAGTACTTCAGGTTTGGGCTGAACTATGTGAAGAGCATTCTGTTTCAATTGGCCTATGGAACGAGGTTGCATCAATATCTGCTGGAAGACTGGAAGACAAGAGTGCAATTGTTAGAAAATCCGCATTGAATTTACTGATCACAATGTTGCAACATAACCCCTTTGGTCCACAGCTTCGGATAGCTTCATTTGAAGCAACCCTGGAGCAGTATAAAAGAAAACTGAACGAACTTGAACCAAGCCTCCCTACTGAGCAATCATCAAAAGAGCCAACTTCAGACGGTGACTCCTGTAGTGGAGATGGTGAAATCGATGACTTGCATCTTGAAGTTACAAATACAATACATCAAGATAGTCTACCTGATAGCTGTCAGCCAGAGTATGGGGAAGATATCAGTGAGAAGGATGTTTCTGTTCCAGATATTGGTAACCTTGAGCAGACCAAGGCCTTGATTGCTTCCCTTGAGGCTGGATTGAGGTTCTCAAAGTGCATGTCAGCTAGTATGCCGATCCTCGTTCAATTAATGGCTTCATCTTCTGCCAGTGATGTTGAGAATGCTATTCTCTTGTTGATGAGGTGTAAGCAGTTCCAAATTGATGGTGCAGAAGCTTGTCTTCGTAAAATTCTGCCTCTGGTATGGTCTTTTATCATGTATCGTAACTCATAAGAATCCATTCTTTTGTCATTTTTTGAGTTAACATCCCCTTTATACATTGTGCTAAAAACCTTGTTTTCTGTTGTCTCTGCAGGCCTTTTCTCAGGATAAGTCCATCTATGAGGCAGTGGAGAATGCCTTCATCTCAATCTACATAAGGAAAAACCCAGTTGACACGGCGAAACAGCTGTTGAACCTTGCCATAGATTCGAATATAGGAGATCAAGCAGCACTTGAGTTTATTGTTAATGCTTTAGTGTCAAAAAGTGAAATATCTAGCAGCACGGTAGGTTCCTTCTGTCACTCCAGCTTATGAGTATGCTTTGAACTTATGGTCAATCGATACGTGTAGTCTGCTTATGCACGGCCAAGAACAACTAAGACATAATGCGCGCTGATATTGATTATTGATTCATTCAAGAAATTTATTTCTCGAAGAAAAAAATTTCACCTGCAAAAGGCTAATAAGTGCTGCTTTCGTTTTTGTCTTGTAGATTTCGGCTCTATGGGACTTCTTTTGCTTTAACATTAATGGGACAACTGCAGTGCAAAGTCGTGGGGCTCTATCTATACTTTGCATGGCTGCAAAGTCGTCGTCTAGAATTCTTGGATCACACATACAGGATATTATTGATATTGGGTTTGGCCGTTGGGCAAAAGTGGAACCTCTACTTGCCAGAAGTGCTTGCACTGCTATTCAGCGGCTTTCCGAGGAAGATAGGAAGAAGTTACTGCTCAGCAGTGGCAGCCGATTGTTTGGTATTCTTGAAAGCTTGATCACTGGGAACTGGCTTCCAGAAAACATATTTTATGCTACTGCTGATAAAGCCATCAGTGCCATATACATGATCCACCCAACTCCAGAAACCTTGGCTTCTACTATTATTAAAAATTCCCTGAGCACTGTGTTTGATGTAGTTGGACACGACCAAGCACAGGATGATACCGATGATACTAATGTTGATATTCTGACTACAGTTCAAGTATCAAAACTCAGTAGATTCTTGTTCGTTATCAGTCACATTGCGATGAACCAGTTGGTTTATATTGAATCCTGCATCCAGAAGATCCGAAGACAGAAGACTAGAAAGGACAAAGCGGCTGCTGAAAGTCAGAATACAGACGGAAACCTTGGGGAGACTCAAGAGGTACATACCGATTTCCATAAAGCGCAGCTGGTGGCACAAATGTTGCTACATATTGGGTTACTTTTGCTTACTAGTTCTATTTCTTGCAATGTTTTCTTTGTTTTACAGAACAATAGCATAAATGCTGAGCTAGGACTTGCTGCCTCTGATGATGCACTGCTTGATACACTAGCTGAAAGAGCAGAGAGAGAAATTGTTACTGGTGGTTCTGGCGAGAAGAATCTGATTGGGGATTGTGCAACGTTTCTCACAAAGCTTTGCAGAAAATTTTCCCTGCTGCAAAAGGTAGTTACTAGTTAGTTTTTCATTCTTCCTTCCTGTTTCATGGTGTGTGATGAAGTTGTTGGCTTGTGTTTCAGCTCCCTCTTCTTTTGCTCTCACATTTAATTTGTGATTTACTTCCCTTTCCCTTGTTACAGCATCCAGAACTACAAGCTTCCGCAATGCTTGCATTATGCAGGTTTATGATTATTGATGCAAGTTTCTGGTGAGAATAAATCTTTATCCCATATTCTCTTTATCTTCTACAAAACTGAATTTGTAGTTAATTGATGCATTAAACTCAACGTATGCCAGCGAATCCAATCTCCAGCTCCTCTTCACAGTTGTTGAAAATGCACCGTCTGAAATTGTTCGGTCAAATTGCACCCTTTCCCTTGGAGACTTGGCAGTTCGTTTTCCAAATCTTTTAGAACCTTGGACAGAAAATATGTATGCCAGGTTAAGGGATGCTTCAGTTTCAGTCAGGAAAAATGCTGTCCTGGTCCTTTCACATCTTATATTGAACGATATGATGAAGGTATGGCTCCTTTACCCCTCTCCTTCCTTTCTTTAAATATCTGCAATAATTGTTTGAGGTTTCATTATGTGAACTCTGATTTCAGGTGAAAGGGCATATCAATGAAATGGCTATATGTATTGAAGATGATGTGGAGAGGATCTCTAGTCTCGCAAAACTATTTTTCCATGAACTGTCTAAGAAAGGTCAGTTGCAATATCAACTTTACATGACATAGCCACTTCCACTTTTGGATCTAATTTAACACTTGTGCCTCTTTTCTGCGAAACAAATCCAGGATCGAATCCCATATACAATCTACTTCCTGATATACTTGGGCAGTTATCCAACCGGAATTTGAAGAGGGAGTCATTCTGTAATGTCATGCAGTTCTTGATCGGTTCCATCAAAAAAGTATATAGCTTTTTTTTTT